AATGTTCTGTCTGCCCAGTTAGTGGATGAGATGGGGCAGAGGGAGTGGAGGATGAACAGACACACACAAATCCACACACTGCTAGCATGGCAGGGAGAGAATGCCCCCATAAATAGAAACACTTCTCTCCTCATTTGCTGTACGTCTCCCCTATATCTACAGCCCTGGGAAGGTACTATAATCTAATGAGAACGGGTGGGGGGATGCCACGGCTAATGACAGCAGGGAAGAGGGGAGCCAGAATAGATGGCAGCAATAAAAGAGATTCAAGTGCCTTATGCCAACAAACGGTACAGTGTTAGTACACATCGAATGAGGCTTCCTACACAAGACGAGCTACTATGAATAGCATTCACCATATACCAAAGAAAGCCAACATGTCCAGGGCAAAGACCAGATAATATCATTTCCTGTCTCTCAGCTTACAACACTACCACCCTGGCAACCTTACTTAAAAAACACATGCCTGCTCCCAGTGACCCTTACTTAGAAATATGTGTATATGCTTCTCCCAACTGACGAATACAGACACCCTGACATCCATCAGTGTTACAAGCTCAGGATCAAGTACAATGTATAGCACAAACTAGGTGCCTATCTGCTGAATGAGTGAGTGTAGATGAACGAACGAAGACAATTTTCTTTCCTGAGCTAGTGAGGCACGCCTAACTCCCTGTTCTGAGTAAAAACAGAGTCCTCTAGTGAGGTGTTTCTCATCACTGAAGGCCTCTAATGTAACCCCTGAGACGACACGACAGACTGGCAGGTGCTCTGTCACACCCTTCCTTTTCTGTGACATACCCGGCACATTATAAATCTTTGCTTTAAGAAGACAGGAATAAGGAGAGAAAGGAAACAGTAGTTACTCAAACAGTCACCAAGAATCGAAGGAACACACTGTCACAGAGTCAAGTGCACGCTAGAATTCAGCACATGAGAGCAGTGTCACTGGGGTGCTACAATCACTATTACATGACATCCCTAAGTCAACTGTCCCAACCTAACCCACCCACACAATATCTGCCTGAATTCAACATTTGATTACAAAGAGTTTCTAAAGTATTAGAAAAATACATAGCATTCTGTAGCATTCTGTAGCATTCTGCAGCATTCTGCAGCATTCTGTAGCATTCTGTAGCATTCTGTAGCATTCTGTAGCATTCTGTAGCATTCTGTAGCATTCTGTAGCATTCTGTAGCATTCTGTAGCATTGGATTCCTTAGCATTAGAACACCTTCCTAAACAGGATATAAAACTAGAAAGTATTTCAAAACATTGACAAGAGTTGACTATGGTTTTAAAATTTAAAATTTTGTTTTTCAAAAGGCATCAATATTACACTAAAAGGCAGTTATCAACTCACACAGCACACAACAGAAAAAAGCGTATCACACACACACACACACACACACACGTGTCTGTATCTCTGACAAGTGACACAGGGAGGTGTGGTCTGAGATGAAGATGCACACAGATAAACTGAACGTCCCTGTTCGTCACCTCCAGCCGAGGGTGAAGGTGGAGGGAGGTGAGCTTTGGCTCACACAGAACGACCCCGCCCCCCCCCCTCCTGGAAAGGGTCCAGAAGGGGTCAGTCACTTCCCTGCACTTATCATCACTGATGTGAGCACTGTGGTGGGAGGCTGGTGCTTCCTCACTGGCAGCAGACGCAGCCCTCTACTATGCCAGGGGAACGCTGCCTGGGTTACACCACAGAGGCATGGCAGACCCTAGGTTATATTATGTGTTTTATCAGAACCAAAAATATACAAACTTGCTGTAAACATTCAAAAATGAACAAGCCATTAGTTATTACGACATTGTTTATGGCAGGCTAAGGACAGTACAGGAAAGCACTGCCAGGCTCGGCTGCTAGGAAAAGGCACCGTGCCAAAGATGGCAACCTTCTCTGAAGATCAAACATCATCTCAGATTTTCAAAAAGTGACAACAAAAAAAATACCTGCTCTGTATAAATCTCTACTTTCAAACAGCCTTCATGCTCAGTAACTGTCAAAGTTCAGAGTGTGGTTCCTGCTCCTTTGGGGTGAGGGTACCATGGTCAGTGAGGCACAGATTTACCACAAGCAAGTGTGTGAGCTAAAGCCAGGGTTAGGGTGAGCTCCATCTACAGCACAGCTCAGTTTCGAGCCACAATGCCAACTGACTGTTGCCTAGTCTCAGAAAGAGGTATAGGTAAAATCTCCCATCCCTCAATTGACAAAATATCACTTTTTTCAATGTAACAGATGAAATCTGCCATCCATACAAAGCATTTAAAACCTTCAGCAGGGAACCTCAAATTTCAGTTTCCTACAGAAAACAAGCCCTAAAAATGGAAGCCTGCTGCCACTCAGACCCTCTTAGTGACTGCACTGCTCAGATGGACAGTGAAGCTTCAGGTCAATGACAACTGCATATCTCACCATCAGTGGGCGCCTTACATGATGAGCCTGTACTGGGTACAGAGTAGTCACTCCACGCCTCTAAAAGCTTGTCATTTTCCTGAGAGAAACCAAAGCAACACAAAAGACACCAAAGAACAAAGGTGACATATATACAAATAAACTAACATAAGACAAACGAAACCCTTACATACTAAAGGAAGTATTTGCAGAGTAAAGTAACTATAAGAAGTTCATTTAGAACACTGGTTAAGCAGTCAATAAATGATTATGAAGGAAATCCAAAGCATCCTTGAATAGTCAAATACTGTCTAATCCTTAGATTCATTTTAACATGCTGTTAGAACAAAAACCTAAGCCGACAAACAAGATTTATGAAACAATATAGGAGACATGTTAAAATGCTCATTGTTTTTAAAGCTTTCTAACTGATGATGACCCTAAGACCCCTCCCTCTTCTCTCTCCCATAGTCTCCCAGGCCACCTTTGCTTGCTCAGATTTCTGGTCTGGAGCTGATGTACTGTGGTGGTCTGACTGAGAATGGCCTCCATGGGCACATGGTATCTGAATGTTTGGTCCTCGGTTGGTAGAACTTCTTGGTTAAAGCTTAGGGGGTGTGGCCATGTGGGAGGAAGCTTTACACTGAGGCTGGGCTGTGGGCTTTCCCATGTGTGACTGCGTGTGTATCTTACACTTGTAGAAGAAGGGGTGAACTCTCAGCTACTGCTCCTCTAGTGCCACGCTTGGCTGTGGCTCTCACCACAGCAGTCATGGACTTGCCCTCTGAAACTTTCTTCCGTAAGTGGCTTTGGTCGTATGTTTTGCTACAGCAACTGAATAGTAACTATGACATGCACTGAAACAAAAGCAGGCTGCACAGCACAAAAGGAGAGGTGATTATTAGAAAAGGAGAAAGAGAGAAAGGAAGGGGAGGGGAGGGGAGGGGAGGGGAGGGGAGAGGAGGGGAGGGGAGGGGAGAGGAGAGGAGTATGAATACCCAAGGGAAAGCCTGTTTCTAAAAGGGGGAGCTCCTCATTGAAGGCAGGTCTCACTCCCTCAGGCTGGAGGTTTGAGGGGAGAAAGCACAGCTGGAATCATGAAAATCTGCTCAGGAGTCATGTTCCTGCTGCTTCTAATTACACACAAATGCACTGTGCTGCTGCCCACGCCAAATGCTTAGACTGATACGCTGCTTAGTTTTCAATCTGCTGCAACCATTATAACCTGAGTCAGTGCAGACTCCTCCTCCTCCTCCTCCTCCTCCTCCTCCTCCTCTTCCTCCTCCTCTTCCTCCTCCTCCTCCTCCATATCAGGTCCCTCTCATTCCCCAAGCAGCCCCGAGACACAGAATCTTCACTCAATTTCTTGTCCCTCTTATTTTAATCCACTCAAAACTCCTCTGGGTAAAAGAGCAACTGCCAGACCGAGACACTTTAGTCCCTCTTTGGGGAAACGAAATTGATTTTCTTCATTTTTACAAAAGAGGATCCCTGGGTAACAATATTGTGTCTAACGCCCATAATAAAAATGTAGGCAATATTTTTTACTTTCCTAGTGGCTAAAGGGTTCTGTGAAATTCTTGGTCTAAGTTAACCATGAGCTCAGAGGTGACTCCTGACCAAGGGACATGCTCACCCACTCATACCCTGTCAGTCACAGCTAGAAGGTAGGGCGGATGACATCTGGTGTGGAGAGGCTGTGGGGTGGCTGGTGAACAGGGGCCAGTTCCACATTCTCCCTGTGTGTACCCACCATTTCTCTTCTCTCCACACCTCACTAATGAGCCTATTTTCTGCCTTTAATCTTGCCTCTTGCCTTAGAAATTATTGAAGGGCACTTCTCCAGTGGGAAAATAAACAAATCTGCATAATTTGGGGGGAACCTAAACCACCCCTTCCAGCTCCCAGTTTCATAGCTGTCTTGCAGAACTATAGGACGTTTAGAACATGGCTTGACCTAAAGAAGACTATAAACTATTAGAAGAGTAACCTTTCAATGTTCTCTAAAACAGTCTTGCCTGGGGGCTGCCAAACAACAGGATCAGCTGGTACTGAGCTGGAGAAAGGGTATGAGCATGAAGCCTGCTGGCTGAGGCAGCCTGCACCTTTTACCCCACTTACAACACTGATGCTGTCCAGCCGCACCTCCCTCCTCCGATTCAGGAAAGGCCCAAGTATGCCAACATGAACCAAGCATCCAGGGCATGGATGCAAGCAGCCAGGGCTGCTGCTGGCTCTGGGAACTAGCAGGAAGCCTTCTCAGCAATCTTCCCTGGATGTTAAGGAAGCAACACTCTCTCCAACCAGAACTGCTTTCTCTGTGTAGATCACAGTGAGTGCAAAGGGCATTTCCACCTCCCAAGGGTTAGTGTTTCGTCACAGACTTCACATGTCCACAAGAAAACAGGGCACAAAGCACACTGGACATTCCATACACTAATCTAACTTCCCTACAGGTTTTTGTTTGGGGTTTTGTTTTCTAGTTTTTAATTGTTATTTTGGAGGGTTTTGTTTTGTTTTGTTTTGAGAGTAGTTTCCTTCTAAAAGACCAAATGTCCTTAAATAAAGACAAAAATGAATGAGATTGAGCACTCACCTGCAGACCCGAGCTGGGAAATACAACTTTTGCCACGAGCGACACAGATAATGTGAATGATCTATCACTCTGATCCAGTCAAGCTCATCCATAGACACCTCGATAAAGTAGGAGTAAGACCTGCGAATTAACAAGAAGATATACGGTACAGTGACAACAACCGGAGGGAAAACATGAAGAGGAGGCGGCATGTACAACTCACTAATTACATGTTCTGTTCCACAGGCACATTTGTCATGTCAGATAATAATGGAAGCTGTATAAAAGAAAAGCCACTACTGAAACAGTTACCCAACGGAGTGAAATTTCCTCTCAGCTTGTCTGTCTACCGTATAAAAGGATGACCTGCTTAAGAACAAAATGAAATGCAAAACTGCTTTTCTTTACATGGTCAGATGATGGCCATACCATATCAGCAGCTTGGTAAAGCCAGAAAGGAGGAAGGAGAGACAGAGAAAAGAGGAAGAGAGTTGTGGGGGTGAGAAGAGAGAAGCAGGCGAGTGAGTACCCTCCCCTCTCAGTGGGGAAAGCAAGTGGAATGTTGGAGGCTCTCTACAGAAGCCAGCTTCCCCCCAGCTACCTCTCAGTCTCCTAGCAGAGCACTCTTAAAGGCTGGCTGCAGGAAAATAAACAACACGGGGAGATGCAACCGAAGACTTGCCAGCTAATAAGCAGCGGTAATGAAAATAGGCCATCCTCGTCCTCGAGTCAGCTGCCCAGGACCATTACATGCTGGTCCCACACTGAACAAATCTGTATTTCCTTGTCATGAGCCAAATTTAAATTTGAGATGCAGTTATTACTTGCACTGTAATATCAACAAGAACAATCTTGGAAGATTTAGGTGATCATAAATGTCAGCCTGCAGCCCACACTTGTGACCAGAAAAGGTCAGCTTATTTTGTGTCGTCCCCTCATTTTCCGCTGTCCCCTCCACTCCCATTCATTTTACCGCTCAGTCCCAAGCTGGTTATAACCTTTTATTGAACCTCTCTGGGTTAGCAGTAATGTGGGATATAATTTTACCACACATCAGAATCTTTTTGGCTTAAGATTTTGAATTTTTCACCTTTGCTTCAAATGTTAGCAATGTGTGTGGGAAAAGAACATGGCGTCGCTAAGCCTCCGGTGACTGTAAGAGAGACGCTAACACAAAGAGGCCTGTAAGTATTTAACTTCGTGCAAACAAAAAGCAATGCTTTCCGGTTCAAGCACAGCAACCTTCTTTATCAGTTTTATGCCAATTTCATTATTAATTAGATGAAATATATAAAGAATGGCTACCATCCGCAAGCAATGGGACTACGATACAAATACTATTATTACAGTGCTGTCATTGACCAGGGACTCTTGGAAAGGAGACATGAATTCACTCCAACCTCTGTCAATTATGCTTCAACTACCCCCCAGGATACATGTCAGAAAATCTATTTTTTAGACATTTAGAGTATATGACGAGTGAGTATGTGTGTGCATGAGTGCGTGCGTGCATATCTGCCTGAAGAAGTCACAGGTGGTTGTGAGCTACCTAACAGGAGTGTTGGAAATCAAACTCCAGCCCTCAGCAAGGGCAGTATGGGATCTAACTACTGAGCCATCTCTCCAGCCCCATGAAATAGATTCCTAATAAAGACAGACCAGAGAGCAATCCCCAAGGGATCTCAAACACACTGCACATACAAATGCTGGCTTTCTCCTTAAACAGATTCCTCCAGGCATGGCTCCAATGGCCAACAAAGACAAAACGGTCACCAGTGTGCCAACAAGACGTGCTCTCTTCCTTCCGTGTGCTTGAGCCCTAACACTGTTACAGCTGAACCGACAGGCCCAGACCCAAAAAGGCACAGCAGGTTGGGTGGGTCTCAGGCTAAAGGTGAGCAACACTGGAGACCATTTATTCTGCTGTCATTGTCCCTGTGCTCCTGCCACCGCAAATGGGTCACAAGCCCAGGGAAGCAGCACTTGCTGGAGGGAAGTGCTCTTGGAGCTCTGGGGAAGCTGAGTGTGCACCGTGGCCTGAAGCCCACCCCACTTCCCTCACAGCTCGGATTCTATTCCAGGGAGGCTTAGCTGTACACCAAAAGGCAATCTCCTCAGCTATAGGATGATATGCATTTTAAAGGTATTCATTATATCCAGTATGTAAGAAACCAAATAAATAATGTTCACCTATATGGAAGGATGCCAGATAACATTTCAAAACTAATACCCTGTTTAAAATGTAGTAACTGAGACATGAAATTAAAGCCAGGTGCAGTGGAGCACACATATCTGTAATTCCAGTATCTGGGAAGCTACGGCAGGATTGCAAGTGTGAGAGTAGGCAAGGCAAATTATTGAGACTCTGCCGCAAAAGAAGATAAATGCAAAGAGAAGAGTTAAGTCTCTAGTATAGCTAGTCTGTGTCTTGTAAAGCGATGTGAGAATTCTGTACTATGTCTGTGTATATGAGATAGATAACGGACACAAGTCAGATACATACAGATTTCAATCATGGTGGTGATGAAGTCACTAGCAATTTATATTTTCTGCTATGTGCTTTTCTGCATTTTTCAAACTAAACACTTATTCAGTGCTTGTATAGGAGGAAAAATGGGGGCTGGAGAGATAAGAGAACAGGTTACTCTTTTAGAGGAGCCGAGTTCAATTCCCAGCACACATATGATCACTCACAACTGACTGAAAATCCAGACTTAGGGAATCTACTGCCTTCTTCTGGCCTCTGGGAGTACATGATGCATATACATACATGCAGGAAAAACACTCAACACACAAAATAAAATATAAAAATTAAATTTTAAAAAGGTCAAAAATGTTTATTAAAGAAATCTAACTTTTAAACTCTTGCCCTAGAACAAATTTTCAGGAGAAATAGCAGAATGTACATAAAGAAATAAGCCATTTAAACCTGTAAAACCAAAGCACGTGATCACTGAATACCTAAGGCCTTTTTCCGGTTCTCTCGCCACTTCCTTGCTAAAACATTGTGCTGGCTAGTTTTGTGTCACTTGACACCAGTCATCTGAAAAGAGGAAACCTCAATTGAGAAACTGCTGCCTTAAGACCCAGCTGTAGGGCATTGTCTTAATTAAGGATTGATGGGGGCGGGATCAGCCCACTGTGGGCGGGGCCATCCCTGGGCTGGTGTCTTGGGTTCTATAGGAAGCAGGCTGAGCATGCCAGTCAGCAGCACTGAGCCTTGGCTTCTGCATCAGCTCCTGCCTCCAGGTTGCTGCCCTGCTTTGTTCCCACTGGTAATTCTTTGGTTCTAGACTGTAATGAAGAAGTGTAAGCCAAACCCGTTCCTCCCCAAGCTGCTTTGGCCATGGTGTTCATCGCAGCAACAGTAACCCTAGGACAAAGGACCTCTCTTGATAAATGTCACCCTTCTGCTAGTGAGGAGAGAGAAAAAGGGAGAGGAACCAAAGCAGATGACCAAAAAGTCAGGTCCTCTCCAGCAAACCCGGCATCAGCTTCTCCCAGACAGGAGGACTCACCGGCTGTCACGGTCCCACAGGAGGAGCCGGATGTGGTTTATAATGGACGGCTGGCCAAGCTTGATCTCAATGCCAGAGCGGCAGTCATCATCGATGGGGTGCCGGGAAAAGCCATGATCCAAGTCATAGTTCTGAGTGTCGCCATCCAGCAAGGCCGACTTCAGCTCTCCTTTCACAACCTGGGCCCCATACTTCATAGTTGCAATGTTTTCTTCAGGTACTATGGTTAGAATAGAAGGAGCGAGTGGATGGTTACTCTGAATCGTTCTAGAGTACTGAGGGAAAGGCGAACTTCTAGCATCTAGCTGATTCCAGTACCTGTATCTGATTTTAAGTTGCATAGGCAAGTCTATGGAAATGAAAGCTATACGTTGTTCACTAAGATTAAGATAGCGGTCAGCATTCGAAACTGAATGCCACTACCACAGCTAAAGGTCACCACCACAGTAAGCCAGACACTAAGCATTACTGAGAGAAAGTTAATACTAGAAACACAAGGAGCGGGACAAATGGACCCTCTCTGCTGAACTCATCCTGTTAGTAGGTTCAATTTAACATCCACTGAACAAAAGTAACCTACGGGATGGCCCATACCTGCCGCCGGACTGAGGACAGGTGGACAGCAAGCACAGAGAGAGAAGCCCCAGTGTTAGTCGCTGTTGGTCACATACCGACAAGATTAATCAATTTCCAAGCTGAGAAAATAAGATTCTATTTAAAAGAAAATACACATCCCTTGGGTGCTTGTTTGCCATCAGAATCCTCTCTCCATTATTGAGATTCGTGTCTGAGACTTTGAAGTACTCTCTACACAGGATGCTTCCCAGGTAGGGAGGGTGTCTCCAGTGCTGACATCCTAAAACTGGCACTCTCCGTGGAGGCTGCATAACATGTTCAGAGACTGAATTTAAATCAAGGCTGTACTCTGAGCTGGATATACCAATTTCTTAATGTCAACTTCAATTTCTTAAGAGGACGATGCCTGTGTCCTACATGTTCTCCGTAAAGACTGAGATGATGTTTGCAAAGCATATAGTATGTTCTTTAAGAAACAGGCATTACTATACTGCACACAGACATAAGAACTATTCAGGTTTGCTGCCACAGTGCACATACAACTTGGCCGCACGGTGTGAGAGGAAAATGGGACTTTTCAGATGCACGAGGAAGAGACAGGAAGAATTCAGCATTGCAGAGATGGTGGGAAACAGACTTTGCCAAAGTTTTCAAATGAAAACAAGTAAAGACGGGGGGGGGGGGGGCAGGGGGGGGCTAGAGGTGGGGGGCGGCGTTGTCCACAAGAGGACACTGGGAGCTAAGAACAAAGGCGACAGAGTGAGGCAAGTCGGCAAAACCGCCCACTGCAGCAATGCTCAGCAGCTGGAGTGGCAGCAGCATAACGTTCTGTGTCAGATGTGACAGTTCTCAGCACTCTGCACTTTACAGATACTAATTCCTTCGAATGGGTCCTCACGCTAATCCTCAGTGCACAGTGTAATACCACAGCCACCACAGGCGACAAGGGGAAGCACTGGAAGCTCAGCGGATTCCTGCCCAGCAAGCAGCCGAGCTGAGGCCAGACCCCAGAGGGTCCCTAGGATGAAGCTCTGCTCCTCCTCCACAAGCCAATTCTGATGGGACTATCACCTACAGCTCTGATAGCACAGGTTAAGACTGCGCCATAGAGGTGGACATGTAACAAGCCTCCACACTTGGAAACTAAAGCCCCCTTCCTTCGGTACTAAAATATATCAGACTCTGGATAATATACCAGGTACAAGCTATGATTATAGCTGAAATCTAAACTAGAAATTAAAGGTTATCACACACAGGCCCAAGTCTTCTTTTGAAGTTTCTTTTGCGAGCCCTCGAGCACTTTCTAGCCATCCTCAACAGGTTCATTCCCTCCGAGCTGAAGCTCATCTATACAAGTGGAGACTCCCCCGCGGCAGCTAGAATATCAGTACTCTACTAGATAAAAATACAGCTCCATGGGGTTTGTCTTCAAAATCCATAGCTCAATAATGAATTTAAAAGGAAAAGTAAACCTGGAAAAATTTAAGTTACAAAAATGATCAAACTGTAAGGATTATTTTTTTTCATAAGTATTCTTAGTACCTATATCTCTCTAAGCATGAAGAGAACTCTTAAAAATATGAAGCAGCAACTGGACTGAGCAAGATCATGAATAGTAATCACAATTTTCTTTTTTATACTTGTGATTTATAATGTTATTTTATAGCCATTAAAAAAATAAGCTTTATAGCCCTATAGAACAAAGGTAAAAAACAATTACTAGAAAGGGAGAAATGGGGGTGGGGGGGCAGGGGGTGGGACGGGGAGGTTATCTCAAGCCCCTCCCCTCACTAATCTCACAACTGGGGTCAGTGTCTAGGACTATGAAGTCATCTACACAGGATGCTTCACAGGTAAGGAAGGCCTGTCACCAGGTGCTGACACCTAAAACACTCTTCAGAGAAAGAGGAGAGGTTGCATAAACACACTCCGAGACTCAATCATAATTTAAAACCAAGCTACACAGTGACACTATCTGAGGCATGGAGCTAATTATTCTGTGGTTTTCTTTTATATTCCTAATTATCATTTGAGGACACAGACTTGACACAGTCCTCTCTATATATGAGTCTTTTGAACACACATCAGCTCTCTGCCCACTGGAACCTCTTTACCCAGCTCTACTGCCTACATCCTCCTCTCGTCTCCTTACTAACGTCCTGAAGAACGGACAGTCCTCCTGCTCCCACACTGAGAATGTGGAGATTAGGCCTGCACAGAGTGGGTGAATGCGGGGGTCAAAGCAAGACTAAAGCCTTGGGAAAGTCATTCATAATGACAGTTGTACAACAGAACCCCACCCAATTTACTTTCAGAGGCGGGGGTTCAAAGCTGACTATGTGTGAACCACTCACTATACAGACCAAGCCACAGACGTTCAGTATCCAGCATGACAAGAGAACCCCACAGACACTAGACACCTTCACAAATGAACACACACCAGAGATGACACAACAGTAAAAGGGAGTCTCAGAACTTTCAAAGGGTCCTTGAGATAAGTGAGATTCCGTGATAGATGAGAGAGACTTAAAATTCTCGTCTAGAAACAAGAAAAGGATGCATTTAGTCACCTGTATTTTTTTTAAGTCTTGACTCAGGCACTGTGGCAGGTGCCAGAAGACCACAGGCAAAAAAGAACACAACTGTATCTTTAAAGAACTCAATCAATGAGACTTAGACAAGTAATCAACAATTATATCACAGCTGCAAAGACCCAGTCTAGTAACTAGAACACACACACATACAAATTTACATATTGATTTTTACTCACTAAAATATTCTGAGGCTAGAATCTATGATACACTCCTGCTATAAACATGCAAAAACAAGAAATTACTGTTCTCTTCCCCAAAGTCTAAGACATGAGATAAATAAACCAAGGTAGAACTTGACATTATTAGAAAACACACTAACTTTCAAGACAGAACATCTCCAGAACTAAGATAGAAACTAAATGTTAAGGGAATGAAACAGAGGCAGTCCAAACATCCCAAGGAAAAAAAGTAATTTCATTAAAAAGTTAATTTCCTTTTCCTAACTGTAGAGATAAATGTTATTGTATATGCATAAAATTCATGTGCTCTATCTTCTAGAGAGACCAACCAGAATCATTGAGCAAAGACATCTTCTGGATTACCCACCTCCTTAAAAATCTGCCATTTAGTAAAGCTTCAGGATAGACAGCTGAGGGGTGAATCTTCCAGAAACCAATGTTAGTGACCAAGAAGAAGCCCTCGTGTCGATGCAGGCTTCTCTGTTCTTCCTGGTAAGTCTCAACACACAAACACTGCACGCACACACACACACACACGTCCGTCCAGGGAAGAACAAAACAATCACACAGACTCTGCCAGTAGATCCAAAACAAGCAGAGCTAGCCTCAGCACCATCAGCCTAGGAATAGTTCTGCATCAACATCAGACCTTGTTTCCCAATTGGGGAAACGTGCTAAAACAATCCCCTGAATGTTTGATGGCATCGCTTAGAAAACAGCCTCTTAAGAAACCGCTAGGGATGTATTGTGCTTTCTCAGCATTTTTATTATTTATTAGACTACTTAAATACTCTAAGAGTCAGAAACCCCTCCTACTCAACCATCCCCCAATGATCTGAGGATTGCCACTTTCATAATCTGTTCCTTGATCCCTGCCTGAATTTCTTCTAAAGGAAGAGTTCACCACGGATGAGCAATCATCACAGTAAACACACCTCTCCAGAACTGAGGGCCTCAACTATCCCACTCATACGGAACCTCCCAGAGCGCTACAGCCCACAGCTCACCCATGGACTGACCAGCTAATCAATTCTAAGGAACCATAACTGTTTGAAGTGCCAAATATACCTCACACCTACATCCGTGACCCAACCACATGTTCAGCAATCCAGTTCTAGGGCCCTATCAGCCAATCACAGGAAAGGAGGGGAGGGGCTTACATAAGAGGTACCAAATGAGGACTTGGGAAGTGTAAAATCAAACACTCATCCTGTCATGTCACCTTTCCCTCCTACTCTAGCCAAGGCTGACTTCACCTCGAGTTCTAACTGCTTCCTGGATCTTTCCAGTGTGTTTTCAGGAGCTACGTCACTTCTCTACTGCCTTTTACCTCAATTCACAGACAGAATGGCTGGCGCACTGTGAGTATTATCCTTCCCTTAAACACAACGGCTTGACTCCTAGGCTGTCACAGCCTCATTCGTCACAGTTCACAGGAAGCCCTCTCGATTCTCCTCCACCATGCTGGTCTGGTATCATGAGACAGCACTGACTGCCTCTCCCTCCAGCAGCTCCCTCCTGGTCAGCATCCATGGCTCTCAAAGCTCTTTTGTCTCTGCTTCTCCAACTCCTCCTCCAGCTCGGCAAGGCTTGGCCTCTGACATCGTTCTCCTTTCCCTTGCTGTCCCCAGCTGACTGAGCGCCAGCCATGTGCTTCCACTCCCAGGAGCTTTACCTCCAGAATCCATCCACCACTCACTCACCGCTCTATGCTGCTCAGTGTGTCCAGCGGTCGAGATAAAAGATCAATAAATAAGACCCACACAAAACACTGTGTTCAAACCCCAAGAGTAAAAGAATGTGGTGACTGACAGTTCACACAATGACAGAGGAGGGGGAAACCACACCAATACTGACAGCAGCGGTCTGTTACTGAGCTTGTATTTATACAAATTATTTTACTTAATCCTCATAACAACACTGAGATAGAAAACTAGAAATCAAATCATTTATTGCCAGATCACAGAGCTACTGATTACTTCAGGTCTTAAAATCAAACTTGTCTGGCCCAGGGACTGGGGTAATAGCTCAGTCTACAAAGTGGCTACCATAAAAACGGTGAGGACCCAAACCTGTTTCCTAGTCCACACAAGCTGAGTATAAGGGCACAAACTGGACATCCCAGCACTGGGGGACACAGAGTTAGGCGGATCCCCGGGGTTTGCTGCCCAGCCACTCACTCGGCCTGATCAGCATGCCCCAGTTCCCAGTAAAAGACCCGGTCTCAAGATCAAGTTGGATCACTCCTAAGGAATAATACCAAGGCTCACCTCTGCCCTGCAACTTCCTGCACACACATATGCATGTGCACCCACAAAATTTGTGAGGCCCCAAAACTACTATCAACTGAAAAGCAATCTAGATCTGATAACTCAGGAAATAAGACCAGGCTGAGGACATCTATTTAGGGCCCATCAGCATTTCAGGAATGTCCCAAAACAGTCAGCAGAGGAATCACTCCAGGAAACGGCCAGCTCGCCAGAACTGACAAACATCAGAAATCCTCCAACCAAACAGCACAGAAGCAAGCTCAGCGTCTCTCAGGAGCACTGTGGCTCATTAACTCTGAGGACAGAGAGTGCTGAGGTTCACCTGACACTGTTTACTATCCTAAGATAACAGGGCCATGGAATTTCTGGCTTCGTAGTCTTAGAAAACTATGGTGACTTACCCAAAACATAATCCTCAATTTTATATCCTGTTAACACCAAGATCTTCCTTCCTGGAATTCTGTCTATACCTCTGTTATTCCCCACTGCTCACCCATAACTCTACTGTGTCTGTTTTGCAGAATAAATTCCCTCCTCACAGGTCCTCCTGAACCCAGTTTAAATCCTGAACCCAGGAGCGCACCTCCACAGGATGATTGAGCAGAAGGCAAGAAACTCATGTTCGGTTGGAGTGGCACTGTGACTGGGTGAGTGCCAGTTTGGAAGGTGGGTGAGATTAAGAGAGATAGCTGAGTATCTGAGAGGCCCTGACTAAAGGGTTTGATACAACCAGAAGGCTTATGCTACCGCATTAACAAAAGGTCTGCATGTCAGTTTAAACCAGATTATGGAAATATCTGAATGGTGATTTCAATCTCCTTCCAGTACAATGACACAGAAAGGGCTGGAGAGATGGCTCAGGAGATAAGAGCACTGACTGCTCTTCCAGAGGTCCTGAGTTCAATTCCCAGCATCCACACGGTGGCTCACAGCCATCTGTAACGGGATCCAATGCCCTCTGCTGGTGTGCAAGAAGACTATGCACTCGTGTGCATAAAATAAATCTTTAAAAAAGAAAACATTTTATAGTTGTCAACTGCCATTATTTCATTTGCAAGAAAAATCAAAACACTGTTATAACATCAACCATGACATAGACGCTGTTGACGTAGACGCTGTGTGTGCGGCACCTAAAGAGTTAGACACGCAGTACCTGCCAGGGCTTGGAGAGGAAGAGGGAGATGTCTTAGTGTGACAAGCAACCTTTCAGGAAATGTCTAGGAACACTCTGAGGAGCAGATGGAAGAGTGTGTCCAGAATGACCGGAAATAGCTGTGCTGGGCATGTCTGTGGCAGCTCATCATGTTGGGACAGATGGCAGAGAAAGACACTCTCAGGAAGCAGAGCTCTCTGCTCTTGGCCCAGCATATGCTTTGCAGACCTGCAAGCCAGTGCTGCAGCTAGAACTGGTGTAAGATGCCAACACACGGTGAGGCAGGGGCGGGTACTTACTGAGCATGCCTCTGTAGTTGAGGTCCATGTCCCGGCTCTCCGACCGCACTTTGATGGCATCTAGAATAGCATCCGGAGACAAGAGTCCTGACGGCCTCACCACGTTCAGCAGCTCGGTGAGGCTCATTAGAGGTAAGCGCACAGCCTGCATGATTTCAGCATGGTTCTCTTTTGCATTGTGCTTACACCAGTTTAACAAAGCTAAGAAAATATCTTTCTCAGGAGCAGCAAACGAATCTCTTAAGACGATGTTCAGGAGTGCTGTCTGCAAAGAGTAAAGAGGCACTGTAAAGAGTCAGCATGGCGCACAGCCGCGTGCGCACGTGCGCAGCCACTCAGCCTGGCCGGACACAGGCAGCCATCGCAGCCTTGGGCTTCGGCCTTCCTAGCTCTTCCCTTCTGTGGGAACAGGCAGCAGCAACAAGCCAGATGTGGAATACCGGCATTTAGAAGGCTGAGGCAGAGGGATTACTGTGGGTCTGAGGTCAGCCTGGGCTTCATAGTCAATTCTATCTAGGAAAGCATGGGCTATTAAATTTTAAAAAAGAAAAAGAACAGCACCTTTCCCTCAGACTCAGGTGCTTTGTGCCACTATATAAAGCAATGGGGTCTTTCCCACACATCTATACCTGTCTTTTCTTGTTTTAAAGAGGTTTATTTTGTTAATTTTTAAAATTACAATGCAGAGTAAGTGACATTTGCAAACATTTTGCTCTTATTTGTAAAAGTCTTCTGCTTCACTTCCCATGTCACTACCCTACACACGCACACACGCACACACGCGCACACGCGACAAGCACACACGCACATGCACACTAGTACACACACACACGCACACAAGTACACGCACACGCACCCCACACCTTTTTTTCCCAGTTTCTTCCTTCTTAAGATCTCCTCTTCTCTTTCCAGAGGTCCTTCTTAGTTCCTGGCCTACACCTACCATGTTGGTTCACACAAGCTAGTCTTCTGGAAGAGGGACTCCCGACTGAGGACATGCCTCCTAAGACTGGCCTGTACACACTCTGTGGGGCACTTTCTTGATTAATGGCTGGTGTGGGAGGAGGCCCAGCACTCTGAAGGCAGCACCACCCCTGTGCAGATGGGTCCTGGGGTGAACGAAAAAAGCCAAGCTGAGCAAGCCTTAGGGAGCCAGCCAGTGGCCAGCACCCCTCCAGGGCCTGCTTCATTCCTGCCTGCACGGTCCTTCCCAGACTCCCCCAGTGATGACGGAGGGCTACCTAAAAGCTGTCAGCTGATAGAAACCTTTTCCTTCCCAAGTTGCTTTTGGTCATGGTGTTGGTTTTTTTTTTTTTTTTTTTTTTTTTGGTTTTTCAAGACAGGGTTTCCCTGTGTAGTCCTGGCTGTCCTGGAACTCACTCTGTAGACTGGGCTGGCCTCGAACTCAGAAATCCACCTGCCTCTGCCTCCCAAGTGCTGGGATTAAAGGCGTGCGCCACCACCGCCCGGCTGGTCATGGTGTTTTATTAGTGCAATAGAAAGCAAACTAAGACAGCCACGCCCTTACATTTGCGTATTTTTACACATATCCATTAGAAGAGCAACAAGTGGGGTTTGTCTTTCTGAGGATGGCTTGTTTCACCTCCTGTGAGGATTTCCAGTTCATCCATCCTCTGCAGCTGTTATTATCATTCACTTGTTTCTGGCTGAACAGACCCCACTGTACATAAAACTTACTAGAGAAACCTTGAAAAGAAAGAAAAAACCCAAGCGTGTAAGATCTAGAGCTCTGGCGGCCAGTGGCACGCGCTGGACCAGATGACTGCTTTGAGAGCAAGGGTTTTGGTTCTAGGACTGCTGTCTGTGGTCGCTCAAGGACAAGGAAGGGAAGGCATGCCGAGAAAGCAAGTGCAGAGCAGAACACACCTTGGACAGGGAGAGGAAGCCGTCGCTGGCCAGCACCTCCTGAGCATTCCTGTCCATGAACATGCAGCACATACAAGTCAACTTGGGAAGCGAGTAGAGACTGGCAACGTCAAAAGTCATACAGACATTCTGAATGTTCAGGATGGTGCAGAGATACTCTGAGGTAGAATCCTCTAGCTCTGGAAATCCGTATTTGTGAGCCAGGCTCAGAAAGTCCAGCAGCACCTCCTCCTTCTCATCCGTCAGTGTCGCCCGCCCCGTGTAGATATATCTGAGGAGCATCGTGAAGGCCTCGGCCGTGGTGTCTTGGAGAGGGATCTCTGCTTCAGGCTGTGACTCTCGCATCCCACCATACAGTAATGCCCTGCACACCAAACAAGAAACACAGTTAGAAAACCTCAAACACAGTGTGCTGCAAAATCTATGAAATAATGGTTCCCAACACTATGCAGCTATAGATTTGCTTAAAGACACAGAGATCCAGGTACAGAAATGCAAGTGATTTTACGTGCTTCTTTAAAGGAAACAAGAAAAAGTATTTTAAAACCATTTTGAGGGCTCTGCTCTTCCAGAGGTCCTGAGTTCAATTCCCAACAACCACATGGTGACTTACAACCATTTGTAATGGGATTCCTGTCCTCTTCTGATGGGTCTGAAGACTGCGACAGTGTACTCATATAATAGATAAATCTTTTTTAAAACCATTTTGAATTAATACCACAAACGACTGAGCTAACGAGATAGTCTGAGAATGCCAGAGCACACAGGAGCTGAAGTGATCCTGTGAGAGAACAATGAACTCAATATAAAGAAGCTGCCAGTCCACGAACCGCTTACAAAGTAAATCCGTCCAAGGGGGTGAGCAGACAGACAAACGGGAGCTTCTAACAGCGGCACAACAGTGAGAAACTGGGGTCTGCCCTGCAGTGCTTTAAGGACTAAGGCTCTGAGCCCCTCCCCGTTTCAGAAAGCAATTTAGTAATCTATTCAAATCTGAACCGTACACACCCTTCAACTCAGTAATCATTCTTTTAAGAAGCTGCTAGAGGAAAACATCATTGATTAGGGAGACATCGGAATGAGTACAGAAACCCGGGGGAATCGGAATGTCAGGATGGGCATGGTTGAAACACTGTGTATCATCGGGACGATCAGTGGGGATCAATGGGTTCTAAGAAAGCTCTGCCATGGCTCTTTCCCAGTAATGGGTAAAGGGGTTCAATGCTCGTGAGAGGTCCCCTCTTGTACAGCTAATATGCCCTCATGGGGAACTGGCAGGCTCTGGGGTGTGACAAGGCTGTCAGAACCCTGGACTGCTGACAGGTAGCTATCCTTGGCGAAGGAAGAGCTTTCTGAGTGAGGATCTGAGAGTGTTGGTGATGAAGTGGGTTTAGCCCGAGTGAGCCCCAAATACCTCAAAGGGTCAGTGTCACAGAAGCAGAAAGGTCAGTAAGTCAGGGAATGTGTCCTGTTAGCTCAATACCATCTGCATGTTTCTAGAAATGTCTGGGTTTCTTTTAACTGATCACATTCACATGCGGGTGTCTTTCTCCATTGCTTGTTAAGGAGAGGAGAACATACAGTATTCAAAACAGTAAACAGAAAGAAGAGACTGTCTATTATCAAATAAAGAAGAGCTGTAAAAAGCACTTTCATAGTACCAACGGGACAAAAAAGTAAGCAAAGGGAAAGGAAAGACAGACCAAGGCCAGGCGCCAGAGCCTAGGGCCAGGCTAGGGCCATGAAAACTGACCCTTAGGAAGGGCGGCTGGCTCTCGCTGGTTTTTGAGTTTCCAGTTTCACTAATAGTATTTCATTTGTACAGGAAGGCAAGGTGTGAAAACGCTCATAGAACTGTGGTAGTTCTAGCCACAGAGCACACACTTCCAGGAGCACACTGACTGTGAGTATGACACCAAGGCGTGCCTGCTCCACTGTCCCCATCGGTCCTCCTCTCAAGGCTACATGCAGCTTTCACTGGAGGACAAATGAAATTTCCCTAAGCCACAAGCCTCTCAATTTCTCCAAATGAAACTGTGACTCTATGTACCAGTTTTATTGTAAACAGACAAAGTTTTAGTAATGTCAAGGTCAAAGACAAACAATCACATAGGTAATAGGTCACTGGTGATTCCCGTTTAGCAAAGATGAGGTGAAATGCAGGTAAGAGATCAGTTTAATTGTTATAACCTGGAAAATTAAGGACCTAAGAATTAGCTGTCTGTAAGTGGGATTTATTCATTCATTAAATATGCATTTATATATATATGTTTATATATGAAATATTATATGTATAATACATTAATTTTAGTTCTAATGTAACTCTGCAACAGTCTTATCTAATACTTGTTTCTTTGAGTGGGTTTCCCCCATGCCTGGGAGCTGTTGTTAGGTTACCCACAGGTGCTGGCTACAGTCATCCAAAGCTGAGAAGCACCCGGGCCCATTCAGTCTGGAGAGCCAGCTTACCCACAACAAGAAGTCCACCCGCCAGTGCCCCAGCGCTGACTCCCTCCAGCTACTGTGCACAGAAGGTAAACGCAGCACACACAGCCTGAGAAAGTGCTTCAGACACCAAGAGTTAACTGGTGCTCTCTGACCCAGACAGCCTTCTAAGCCCTTAACTCTAGGCTGGCTCCTAAAGAAAAAGGAATTCTCAGGAAGTGACAACTCTGCAAAGATAAAGTTCTTCTAGACACTGTACTAAAGGAGTTCACTTGGTACACTTGAGTCACATATTTTTCATAGAAAACACCACTGCTTCCCACATGACTTAAATCTAAAAATAATAATAATTATTATTATACACTTACCGAAAATATTGGCACCTAGCTGCTAAAATGACCCTGTGGGCAGGAAAGCGCTTCTTTTCCACCACAAACGTGACATCACCATACTCTTCACCAATCAGCAAGGCACCAATATGCTCAGACAGAATGTGCACATGATCAATTTCCCCCACTGCAGTAAAGGGGCGGAGAGGGTGGCTGTTACTCATCGTGTGGAACAGATGGTAGTCACGGACCTGTCAAAGGAGGACCGGGAGTTAGTGAGGGACAGGGGCATGCGCAGAAAACCCAACATTCTATCAACCACCCAAACTCCATACCAACAGCCATCAGCAATGATTACATTTATTTTCTTTTTGAAACAGTTTTCAATGTGTAGTCTAGGCTAGCCTTAAAGTCTGTGTAGATCAGGCTAGCCTGGAACTCACAACCCTCCCATCTCTGTCCAAAGTGTCAAAGGTTTCTTTTTAATTAACCTGTTGGTTCTAACAGCTCAGGCTGTGAAATTAGCAGTGCTAAGAGCCATCATAAGCTAAAATCACTGGCTCTCTGCCAAACAGCACCTCAGGAAAGGAAATCCGACGGACAGGTAGAGAATACCCGCATCAAGCAGAGACTGGTCTAGCAAGGTTGGATACAGCATACCCCACCCCACATTCCTGGCAGCATCTTTCTGGTACAGATCTAGGCATAAATTATGAACAGAGAAAATTTAGTATCTTTTCATGTAAGAGATTTTGATCTGAAGCTACCTTAAATAATTTACAAAAAAGATATTCTGTGGTCACAAAGGTAACTTACTTTATTAATAAAATTTTAGAGAAACATCATAGCTGTCTTCTAAAATGAGCCCATCTGGCATATTCTCTAAATTGCCACTTCTCAGCCTGGTGAGAGCTGTACATGTCTAATCCCGGCGCTCTCAAGAGACCAAGGCAGGATTATGGGTTGAAGGCTAGCCTGAGCTACATAATAAGGCTTTTCTTTCATCCTGTGGCTCGGATGATCGGGTTGATGGGATTGGCAGCCTATCGTATTTCTAGACATTTCCTTGCTTCTATGTGCAGTCTGCATATAAAAATCACTGAAAATCAAGAGGCTGAGGTTCAATACATTCGAAAGGGTAGTTAAGACCTTAGAAGGCTAGAGTAGTTTGTAAGTTTTCATTGGTAAGCATGCCTTTTTCAGATGTTATAATTCAGCAAATCCATGAGGGCTTTCACCAGCATTCAGATCCTCTGGGGTAAGAGGTGACTCAGAGGTAGCCTCTATATTGAGACCAGAGACTCTGAGCCAGATATACATGCCCTCTCCACTGAACCGCCACTGTCTTCAACATCTTACTTTAATCAAATTTAAAGGCTGAGGATCTATCATCTTCAAACTTCCACAGCCAGATCTGTTACTAGCAAGATGTGTGAAAGTCTATCTCCTGTGACTGCAGGGAAACCTTCATGAACCAAGTTCTTTAGCTGCTTGGTATCACATGACCACCCCAAGAGAGAGAGAGACCAACAGCGAGAGCCTTGATGAAAGGGAACATAGTGGGTGACTGGCAGTAGCACCTGCACTGCTGACAAAGGGTGGTAGACTGCGTGAGAATGGCCCAAAGGCTCCTGTGTGCACACTCGGTCCCTGTTAGTGGAACTGTGTGGGAAGGATGAGGCGCTGTGTCTGTTGGAGGCCTCACTGACGTCACAGTGGGAGAGGTGAGCTTCCAGCTGTTTCTGCCCCACCCTTCCCAACACCATCACAGGCTCACTCCTCTGCAACCACAGTCACACTACGTGCTCTCTTTTATAAACTGCCTTGCTCGTGGTCCACAGTCACACTACGTGCTCTCTTTTATAAACTGCCTTGCTCGTGGTGCTTCATCACAGTAATGAACGAGTTACTAGTACACAAGGCAAACCCTTTGCCTTAACTGAAGCTCCCATTTCAAAGAGTCACAACTCAACCATCTACAGTCATTTGTAGGTTAGACACCAACTTCAGCTTAACAGGACCAACTGAGAAGCATCAGCTACAATAGGAAACGTGGGCTGACACTTTAACACAGGAACTGGGGCACACAGTCCATAAAGGTCACATAATAAATACTTGCGGCTCCGTGCACTAGACAGCTTTGTCATAAATACTCAAGTCTGCCTTGAGAACTGAAAAGCAGCCGTAGGGAATAAGTAAATAAATGAACATGTCTGTGGTTTAATAAAGCTATTTTTATTTATTTATTTTTATTTATTTATTTTTTATTTATTTTTTTGGTTTTTCGAGACACGTTTCTCTTTATAGCCTGGGCTGTCCTGGAACTCACTCTGTAGACCAGGCTAGCCTCGAACTCTCGAACTCAGAAATCCGCCTGCCTCTGCCTCCTGAGTGCTGGGATTAAAGGCGTGCGCCACCACCACCCAGCTGCTATTTTTATTTTTTAATGAGATGGTGCCATTCCACGCATTAGGACCTGAGTTCAATCCCAAAAACCCACATTAAAAAGCAAGACAAGGCTGAGCACATGCTTGTAATCTCAGCCCTGGAAGACAGAGATGGGTCCTTGGGATTCACAGTCAGTGAGCTGCAGGCCATTGAGCAAAGGAGGAGGAGGGGGTTACACAGTGTTCGAGGACAAATTAACACTCAAAGTTGTCCTCTGACTTTTACAGACAAAACAGAAATAACACGTATGCATATACGTGCACACACACATATTCATATTTTAAAAAATGGGTTTGATCAATAGACCAGTTTGCCAAGTGCTTGACTAATATGATCAAGAGCTCTAGACAAAGGATCAGACAGGGTTTGAGGTTTCTCTTCTTTTCTCCTAGTTTATCTGCTAATGTTCAAAATCACCTAGTCACTTCCTGTGTTAGCCAGAAAACTCTGAAAGCTACTGGATTCTGACTCCAAATCCCACTCCTCCCAGAAGAATACTCACATCATTCTGTTACTCCAGACCAAACAGACTATTTGCACTGACAGTATGCACTGCATATGCCTCATGAATATCCTCTGGTGTAATAGCTCTTAACATTTATCTAAGTCATGGCCAAGACTCAACCCACTGCTAAATGACTCTGGCTGAACAATGACTGATTTTCAGTTAACTAGCTCAGTGGGATATTTACAATTCATCAGCTGACAAATCATGAACATTAATTCTAGATATGTAAATATCTGCCTTAATGGGTTCTCCAGATCTTCACTTCTCAATACATATAATTTCACTTTGCCAAATTTACATTTTAATTATGTTTTTCCAAGTGGAAACATAAAGTGAATAGTGCTGGATACAGAAAACAGCCACTTAGTGTGGAATAAACACAATTTTTATTGGCATATAGAAATAATTTTAATTAGACCAGTGATTCTCAACAAGCTTGCCATACACTGGAACCACACAGGAAGCTCAGAAAACTGAAAATAAGATGCCTGTGTCCTCCCCCATCAGTCTTACTTAATTACCCTGTGATGGCCCAGGCACTGCAGTCACCACACTAAGTGATTCGAATGAGCAGTGCGACTAGCTGTGGGTCATGCTATAGTTTCAACGTGGTTTGTCCTCCAAATATCCATCTGATTAAGGCTTGATCCAACAGATCACAGAATCAATGTGTGAAAGATTCAGGAGGTGACAAGTCACCTTCAAGAGGTCAATGGGAAGTTCTTGAGGTCACTGAAGACAGAGGGCAGTCCTCAAGAGTTGAAGCCACAGCAAGCATGGGTCCACTAAGCTCTCAGGCTTCCTATTTCAAGATCTTTTCTTCCTCCTCTGTGTGCTTCCAACATTTAATACCTTCCTGCCACATGAGGTGCTGAGCCAATGGCAGGATCATGCTCTTGAACTTCCAAAAGTATAAGCTAAATAAACCTCTTTTCTTTATAAAGTTATCTGGCTTCAGATATTTCATTATAGCTATGCAAAGCTAATATATAGTTCACATTCTCTAGGCACACAAGCTTAAAAGCAAAATATATCCAGAAGAAAAACAGGTTCTGTCCTAGGTTTAAATTGCTGTGATAAAACACCATGAGCCAAAACAAGCCAAGGGGAAACTGGTTTACTTCACCTTACAGTGTACCTTACAGTGTACAGTGTGCATCAAGTGCATCAAGAAGGAGGCAAGCACCAGAGCTGAGACAGAGGCCATGGAGGAACCCTGTTTACTGGCTTCTCAGCCCTCCTTCTCTTACCACCTAGGATCCTTCCTAGGACCAGCTCGACCTTCAGTGGGCTGGGCCATCCCACATCAATCAATCAAGAAAATGCCTTCCATACAGACCTGTCTACGGGCCCAGCTGATGGGAGCATTTTCTCTGCAGAGGAGCCTCTTCCCAGATGACTTTAACTTGTAACTAGCTTGTGTCAAGGTGACAAAAAACCAACAAGGACAAATTCTATTTTGATATTATTGCAAAGTGACAAACAATGCTAACAAAGTTATCAGACTGCATATGCATATATATAGAAAACTAAGTAATATCAATAAGCTAACTTATTTCCATGGATGTGCTCCACATGTATCTTCTTTTTAAAGGTCTACTGTGAAAGTTACACAGCATTATTTTTAAGTCATCAATTTTCATTTAATAAAACTAGAGGAAAAGATGACTAAAGCTCGTAGAACTGAGAGCTGACATGTTTCAACTTTCTCCACTGAGCTGCATTGACTGCATGTCACCTTTCAGAACCTGATAATCGAATGACATCATTTCCGCACACACAATGCGGGTATACAGACTGTGTGCACGATGCGGGTATACAGACTGTGTGCACGATGCGGGTATACAGACTGTGTGCACGATGCGGGTATACAGTAGATGATTATTTCCTCATGTAACTTCTATAACTCTGCCACTCTCCCTGCTAATGCTTGCTTTGCCCTGTCCTATCAAACAAGAATAGATCAGGTACTGTGACAAGATGGAAGGGAACCATTGGGATCAGAGGAGGACAATTCAGCGGAACAAGAGAATGTATGTCAGCCACAGCCAAGTATAAAAATGACATAATTAAGCCTCTTACTGTATGCTAATTAAAACAAACTGAAAACAATTAAGAACAGAAGGCTGAGAAGACAGTAAGTTTTGAAACGTTGGAACAAGTATGCGTCATAATCAGGGTGAACAGCCCTTCCGACGGCTGAGGTATGCGCCTTTCCTTTCCCTATACACAAACATCACCTTCCTTATGTTAAGAGCATAGAATCTGGGGAGACAGCTCAGCTGTTAAAAGCAC